CCCCCCCCCCCCCCCCCCCCTCCCTCTTTTCATATGCTATATATGGTATTTTTATATATTGTGCCAGTTTTCCCTGGAAGAACGTCTGGATGTGCACACACCTGCAGTGAGGCTGTATACAGACTTGGTGACATCAAGCACCAGGGAGACCAGGAAGGCACACTGTCACTGTGTGGTGCCTGTGCAGGAAGCCCAGCTCCCAGGTGCCTGCATGCTGACCCCCATCTGTAAGAAAAAGAGGCAGACAAAAATGTTGCTCAGGAGCTCTGCCCAGGCTAATCTGGGGAGGTTAGCAAACTTCGCATCCTAGCTGCAAAAAGATGTGCCTGCTTTGACAGGCTAAGGGAGCTGGGCTTGTTCTGCTTGGAGAAGAGAATGCTGCGGGGTGACCTCAGTGCAGCCTTTCAGTACCTAAAGGGAGCCTACAAACAGGAGGGGAATCAACTCTTTGAAAGGGTAGATAACAGCAGGACAAGGGGAAATGATTTTAAGTTGAAGGAGGGAAGATTTAGGGTGGATATCGGGGAAAATTCTTTACTACGAGTGTGGTGAGGTGCTGGAACAGACTGCCTAGAGAGGTGGTGGACCTCTTTGAAAACCCTGAAGGTCTTCAAGGCCAGGTTGGATGGGGCCCTGGGCAGCCTGGTGTAGTATTAGATATGGAGGTTTTGGGGGGGCGGGTTGGAGCTTGATTATCCTTGAGGTCCCTTCAAACCCAACCCATTCTGTGATTCTGAGATTTCATACCTGAAATGCATTTGAGAATAAAGATGTGACAATGAACCAAAGCCTATTTTTTTGCTGTAGGTGCCCACTGCAGTTCGAGCCTGGCAGTGTATTTGCAGACATTCTGCTATAGATGTTGTGATATTCAGTCAGGCCCTATAAGGCTCTTCTCCCTGGATAAGAAATATTGAAATGGGCATAGGAGTTTGTCTTGGACATTCTTGAAGTCTTATTTTTGAGACAGAGCATGCAGGGAAGCAGGTGTAGCTGTGTTAGTACCTAAAAACATGCAACTGAGAGGACTAGATAGCTCCCCTCCAAGATATTTGTTCACAGAAAAACATGAGACCTGGGGAAAAAAGTCCCTGTTTACCTATCGGAAGCTGATATACTGTTACACAAATGAAGAAATTGAAAGGCAATTGCTCACAGAGATTTGAACCCCACTTTCATCTGCACAACTTCATTGTCAGAAGGGCTCCCAGGATGCTGTACTGCTTCTAGCTAACCTGTCTGTGAGAAGAAAGGGCATCCTGGGCTCCAGAGAGCATCCAAGCCTCGTGCTTGTTATTAAATGATGGTGTGCTATATTTTTGGATTTTCTGGGGGGTTGTGGTGGCTCAGGGGCAAGAATATACTAGGCAGCAAGCTGTCAGATCTCATCACCACAGCATACTGTCATCACCGGTGTACTGCTGAGCGAGAGAGCCAGGGAACACTCAGTTTAGGAAGCAGTGGGGGAAAATCTCAGATTTGTCCCAGGGGTTTGTGGGAGGGTTTCTCTAGGAAAGGTAATGCATCTGAAAGGCCAGGCAAAGTGCCTGTATGCATGCATGCAGCATGAAACTGTGGTGTACTTAGAAAACTAAGATCTTACTGCTAAGACTAAGATTGCAGTAACATGGTAGGATGATTTGCATAATTGGAATACCACTTTTGAGGGCTGTAAGTTTTTTAGAAGGAACAGACAAGGTAGGAGTGGGGGAGTTGATGTATATGTTAGAAAGTGGATAGACTGTTAGGAGCTCCCTCTGAAAGCAGGAACAGGTTGAGAGCCTGTGGTTTAAGACCTAGGGCTGAGAACAGTAAAGGACAACTAATAGTTGGGATTTACTACAGGCTGTCTGATCAGGAGGAGCTTGTTGATGAGGCCTCCTTGCTTCAACTGCAAGAGATATTGCGTTCACTGGCTCTCATCTCGGTGGGAGATATCAACTCCTGAAGTCAAGTCCATTGGCATCAACTCTATGATTCAGGTATTGGACAAAGCAACCAGAAGTGAAGTATTACTGGACCTTTACACACCAAGGCAAAAGAGATAATTAGAGAGGGAGAGCAATCTTTGGGCTGTTCAAGGAATTGTTGGACAAGATCTTCTAGGAAGCTGTCCTTAGAGACAAAGGACTGGAGCAAAGCTGGCTTGTTTTAAGGATGCCTTTCTCAGAGCACAAGAGCCCTCTATCTCTTAGAATAAGAAAGCAGGTAGAGGAGGCTAACACCAGCAAGGAGCAGCTGGTCAAACCTGGGTAGAATACAGGGATGCTATCCAGACATGCAGAGATGAGACTAGGAAGGCCAAGGCACAGATGGAACTGAACTTGGTGAGGGATGTTAAAAAGAACAAGTAGGGGTTCTTTAGGTGCATTAGTCAGAAGACACAGGCCAAAGAGATTGTACCTTCTCTGGTAAATGGGAAAGGAGAACTGGCTACAGCGGATGTGGAGAAGTATGAAGTACTCAGTGAGTTCTTCACCTCAGTCTTTGCTGGCAGCCAGGATTTGTGTATATCTCACATTCCTGAAGCTCGCATCCCTGAACCTTTAGGTGGGACCTGGAATAGCAAACTCCCCCTCCACTGTGAGGGCAGAGCGAGTCCTCATGAGACTAAATGTGTACAAGTCTATGGGGCTATCTGACATGCATCTCAGGGACTTAAAGGAGCTGGCTGATGCAGTTGCCAAGGCTCTCTCCATCATATTTAAAAAGCCCTGGCCGTCAGGCTAAGTCTCCAGTGACTGGAAAAAGGGAAATGTCCCTCCCATTTTTAAGAAAGGGAGGAAGGAGGACCCAGGGAACTACAGGCTGATGAGCCTCATCTCTGTGCCTGAGAAGACCATGGAACAGGTACTTGTAGAAGGCATATTAAGACACATGAGAGACAAGTGGGTGATCTGAGACAGCCAGCATGGCTTCCCCAAGGGAATGTCATGCCTTACCAATCTGCTGGCCACCTCTGATGAAGTGACTGCGTTGGTGGAAGGCAAATGATGTCATCTTCCTGGATTCCAGCAAGGCCTTTGGCATTCTTCCCCACCACATCCTTTTCTCTAGATTGGAGAGAGATGAATTTGAAAGGTGGGCTATTTGGTGGGTAAGAAATTGGTTGAAAAGTCGCAGTCAGCGGGCTGTGGTCAGTGGCTCTATGACCAGGTCAAGGCTGGTGATGAGCATTTTCCTCCAGGAGTCTGTTGTGAGGTGGGTACTCTTTAACACCTTTAGTAATGACATAGATGATAGAATAAACTGAAAGATGGGTCTGTGTGCATCTAATAAGGTTCAACAAAGTAAAGTGCAGGGTAATCCCAGGTACGTGTATAGACTGGGGGAGTAAATCCTTGAGAGCACCCTGTCAAGAACTACTTAAGAGTCCTGGTAGATGAAAAACTTCACAGCAGTGTGCCCTTGTGGCCTAGAAAAAAGCCAACTGTATCCTGGTCTGCAGGATGAAAGGTGCTCTCTGCTCTGCCCTCACGAGGACTCATCTGAGTATTGCATCCAGGTCTGGAGTCCCCAGCACTGGAAAGATGTCAATTTTTTGGAAGATGGTCTTGAAGAGGGCCTCGGAGAAGATCAGAGGGATAGAGCACCTCTCCTATGAAGACAGGCTAAAGGAGCTGGGCTTGTTTAGTCTGGAGAAGAGAGGGCTGCAGGGAGACTTTGTTATAGCTTTCTGATATTTTTGATCTAGTGTTTGGCAGCCTTGCCTGTAGCAGGAAGGTTGGAACTTGATGATCCTTGAGGTTTCTTTCAACCCAAGCCATTGTATAATTCCATGATGCTTTGTTTTGTTGGGGTTCTGGGTTTTTGTTTTGTTTGTTGTTTTTTTTTAGATTCAGAACAGAACTTCCAACGTCTGAATGGCTCTTTCTTGATGACAGGTTTTTTCATCTTGTGTGTTAAGTAATGGCAGATGTCTTCCTGCTAGAAGAGATTTATTTTTCCTTGGTTTAACAGAGACATTAATATGGCTTACAGGATCTGTGAGTTGTACTGAAGCTAGGAGTTTCTAAACAGATTGTGCCTAGGAGTGCATTTTGTTTATTTCTTTTGAAGTTCGTAGACTGGAAATAATAGTAAGGGCTTATACACAGTAAGATATAGATATTGCAAGAATTGATTGCAATTTAGAAACATGCCATAAATGTGTTCTGTCTCCTGCATGGAAGAGAAGATTGCACAGACAAGTAAACTGTAGTTTGAATATCTATACCTGTGACAGGCCCAAAACTCATTAATCATTTCTTAGTAACAGCATGGACCACAATGTGGGTTTATTGCTGGATTTTGTCAAGACGTTCTCACATGCACACACACACTTGTACCAAGTGAAGGAATCCATCCTCCAGATGATTAGAGAGAACAGTGTGGGTGGGAGTGTGGTGCTGGGAAGGAGTGAAATACCACACTTTGATCTTTCTGTTTAACGATTTGATGGGTCTGGGAGCCTGTTCACATGCCACGTAGCTCCAACTCCAGAGCCTGGGCACTCTCTCTAGTGAGTAGGACAGGCTGCTTGCTACAGCAGAAGTCACAGGGGGAAGCAAGGAAAATTCTCTCACTTCTTTGCTTTGCAGAAATCTTGTACTCTTATCACTGTATTTTGGCTAAGCAGTGGTTTGCTTCCAAATTCAGAAATGCCAGGGGAACACATGTGCCCCATGCGTGCTCTGGGCAGCCATAAGCATTTCAAAGGAGAATTGGATTGTTGCTGTTAAATTGATTCAGATGTGGTTTTTAAGTAGTGTATATCTAGTGTAGCTACTCCAGCAATATTGATCAAACACAAGAAAAATACTGTTAACTTGTTTTTAAAAGGTATTCCATTTTCTGCAACAAAATATTGATGACCATAACTGACTATTTATGATAATTTTTTCCTAAGACTTGGGGAGAGAAAATAAATAAAGCTAAGTAATGGCAGTTGGAGATTTAATATTCTAAGTCAGCGTATGGAAGTGGAAGAAAATCAAAATGCAGTTAACAGCTCTTTAAGTCATTAGCAACTGGATGAGTTAAGCACTGAGACAGATAAGAACTGATGTTATATTAGAAAATTTCTGAATTAGAAACTGTTCATATCTGTACTTGTAGTATTTCTTCATTGGTATGTTGCACAGTTGATTTAAAAACCAGCAGTTAAGTACAGCCCACCTAATAATGTTGTTGCAAAGTTGAAACTCCTGCTGTGGAAATACATATTTCAAAGAGTAATTGCATCTTTGTCATGAATGAAGTGGGAGTAATTAGTCTAGGACAGTAATTCCTGTGTTGTGTCTCTGCTTACACTATTTTACATTTAGTACCTGTTAAAATGTCTTCCCATGCAGATCTTCAAACTTGCATTTAACAACCTTAAAGTTAATCAATAAATATATTTTATGTTTCCCACAGTTTGCTGAATGGTGTTTGGAATATGGTGCACATGGATGCCGTATTCCTGACCGCCCTTATTCTCTTTTTGAAGGTAAAGTGATTGTATTGCAAATAGTATTGTATTATACAGAATAGAAGGGCTACCTTGTAGTTTTGGGACATGCTTGGGAGTTTGGAAATATTTTCCTAGAGCTTTATATGTTTTCTTTATTTGTAACATTTTTTCTACACCGTATCTCATCATTAAGTTTTATAACACAGTAGCAAGGAATCACAGATAAGTAGGATATAAAACAGTGCTGCTATTCTGAGAGCAGTGAGCCTAATGTGCCACCTATCACAAGTAAGTGAAACTACAACACACGAAGCAGGTTTATTTTACAACTAAACCAACCCAAGGCATAAACACAAGAGAGCAGTAGTTGTATGCATCTCTTATAAATACAGAGTTATTGTGCTGATGTTTGTGGGGAAAAAAGTACAGGCATTCTTATCCCTGGGAGATCCCTTGTAGGCATTTGTAGAAGGAAGAAGCAGACAGTATGTAGTAGAAGAGCTTAGAAGCTTGATGTGGAGTAATGCCAACAATAGTCAGGATGATTTCTGCTTCAGTGCACATTTTATTTCATTTTTTAATGTGATTTTTTTTTTTTAAAGACCTCCATATGTCAAATTTGAGGAAAAAATAATACTATTTTTTTTGTTTCTTAAAACTATGCTTGAAGTTGTCCATTTCAGCACATATGTGTATACATGGGAAGGTGCACACGGTTCTTATGGAATCGTTCTACTCATTTCTATCAAATGCCTGCATCTAAGAAAAAATCTTGTGTTTGTGTGCTCAGTTTCTGATACAGTAGGAATTTTGCTTGATTATAAAAGTGAGATTGTATCTGTGTGCTGTTCTTCTATAGCAAGAGTGGCCCTATAGTTGTCTCCCTATGAATTTTATGAGAGGATGGCAGTATTAGTGCTTCTGGCTGCCCCCTTTATGAATAAAGAACAAAGGAGTATATCACAGGAGTAATAAGATTGCACCTTTACTTTTTGACCCATGAAGTGACCAATGAGAGTTGCTCAAAATGTGAGAGGTGGTCCAAATTGGGATTTATTTTCTCTTAATTGAAGTAGCATTGAGATTGTGCCGCTAAAAAGACAGTAGCAGAGATAAGCCTGTTCTTGGCTTTGATCTTTTCAAGCGAAACTTAGTTTCCTAGGCAAATACAGATAAATTTGCCTTTCTAGAAGCTGTACGTTTACTCCAAAAAGACTTAGCAAGGTGCTAGATTGCCTTTGCTGTCAATGTCAGTGATATTTTAATGTCCCAGATGCAAAAAACCTGTCTCCTTACTTTTTAGGTATGGCTGGAGCTATTCACTTCCTCTCAGATATTTCAGTACCAGAGACTTCCCGGTTTCCAGCGTTTGAACTTGGACCTCAGAAGAGAGAAGACAAAATGGAACAGGACAGCTAAAGGGTTCTTTGGAAATTAAACACATGCCAAAAGAGATGAGACTGTTTAGTGCCTCAGATACAGAACCAACATAACCCTAAGCTGATTGATGGATAAACTGTTTCTCACTTCTCCTGCCCCAAGGGACATGAAGTCCTTAGAGCATGAATTGAGAGAAGCTACGTTTAAGTTCTGTTAAAGTGACACCTTCACATGCAGAACGAGAGAAATCAACTTTTGAACTTTCTCTCTTTCATTGTATTTGTCTTCTTCAGGTCTTTGACGTGACCTGCATGTTTATTGGTGTTGTCTGTTGAGTCTTTTGTTGTTAGCAAAGAGCTGTTCTCTGTGTGAAGCTCCATCCTGTACCTTCATGCATGACCTGTAACAACAGTGTTGCTTTCTGTAGTGTGGTTAGCCTGAGAGCTCCACTGTATGTCAGAGAGTTCACTGTAAGAGAGTACTCAGCTTCACTGGTGAGCTGACAACTTCAAAAAGAGATGGAAAACATGCATTTTTTCATTGCTTTCTACATTTTTCTCCTCCACGGTCCCTAGAAGCTGAGGTGATGGAGATCAGCCTTGCTTGATGATGTGGTATGAGGCCTTCTCAGTTTTCAGGAATGTATCAGGTTGGATGTGACCTGTGGACTGACTTATCTTTTGCTGCTGTTTTAGGAGCTTTTTTTTTTTTTGAGAGAGAGAGAGAGAGAGAGAGAGAGAGAAATTGAGAAAGAGAGGCTGCCTGCACCTAGTCTGTGTGCTAGGGGGAGATGCTCATCCCCACCTCTGCATGTTAGGAGCTTACCAAACTGCAGGCAGAGTTACCTGAACTAACCTCTTTCTGCTTCCAACAAGAGAGAATGGACAGTGTAGCTATGCTTTTCCAGTGCGGTTCATGGATTTGTAATAAATCTCTCTTCAACAGCACACAGTGTACAGGTAAGGGTGAAGTCAGCACTATATCTCATGCTGGTTAATCAGGATGACTATTATTACTGAATCAAGAAGGTGGACTGTTCCAGGCCCTTCCCTTCCTCTCCCTTACCCTTTTGCATTTATCCCATGCTGTATGACAGGAGCGATAAATACCAGCTGCTTGTGGAGGCTGCAGAAGATCAATAAGCAATATGTATGCCATTGCTAAAAGCTGTAATTGAAGTTTATTTTGGGTTGTTAGTGCTTTGCTTCCCCCTGCTGTGCAGTGGAGTTGTAGAGTATTGAGTCTTCTCTCAGCTGTCAAAATGTTAGTGAGTTCTGCCTCCATATGCTCACATAGGGCTCTTTGTTTGGGAGAAGTGGAACATACTCTTAAATATGTACATTTACAACGCATTCATGTTTTCCAGACAAACAAGTATGCATACTATTTGAGAAGGGTAAGAGTGGCATTCTCTCACTTGTTCAAGTTCTGTTGTCATCCTCACCTTCCTTACAGGCCTTGCTGTATTCTGTCATCTCAGGTGCTTATTTTAATTGGTACCTTACATCAGGTGAAAATGTGACAGATGGCTGAGAGTCTGACCTTTCAGGTGCCCATTGGGATATCTGCGACCATTGGCACCTGCTGAATTCTCGTGTTTGTGGTCAGGCTTGGAAATGCATGTCTGTACGTGCATAAAACAGGTAGCAGGTGACTTACCTGAACATTGACTTGTCTGTTGCCAATTCTGTTGGGGTGCTAATGTTTTCTGGATTCAGTTCTGCTAGGCAATAGCAGCAGTGCCAGTGCTGAGAGAGCTTAATGTCTGCTGATTTGTCAGTTAAGATTGGGAGCAGTGAGAGACTTTTACACTCCTCTAAGAGTAGATCTGTTGGGGGCACTGAGCCCAGATGCATCTGTGCAGCCAGGCAAGAGGGAAGATTCTGAAAGGCAGCAGGGAGGAGGGTATTGCATGGCAAACAGCTGTGGTGAACCTGATGTAAGAGGCAGAAAGCAGTGGGATCAATGAGGGACAGGGAGCTGATCACAGGAGGCAGTGTGCAGAATGTACCAGCTCAAGTGAAATGCTTTGCTGCAGCATGCATGCCAAAGTCTAACTCTTCTGTCTGTATTTCTTCTGTCATTGTGTGGTTTACTGCCTGTAATCCAGGGAGGAAAGTAGCTCACAGTGAAGTCTGACAGCCTAACAAAGGAAGACCTGGAGGTTTAAAAAAAAAAAAAAAAGAAAAGAAAAGAAAACCACCACCCCTTCTTTCTCCTTCATCTCTACAGCTGTAAAGTGCATGCGCTGGGTTAAGTGGGTGGGATGCATTCCTCTGCCAGGTCTGCAGGAGCTCCTGCAAATGCAGCACAGAAGCCACTCACTATCCTAGTGATCCAGGCCTGTCTTTCATGACCAACAAGCTGGGGGTGACAGGGGAAGGCTTTCATTCGTTTGTTGGGAGCCACCTTGGCTGCTGTGCTTGGGATGGCACCTGTGGAATATGATGGTGTTGGCTGGCTGGAACACAGGGAGAATTAAAATTACCGGCTGGTTTAAAAAATGCAGGTGTACACACATGTAGAACTGCTTAACAGTGAGTAGAGATCAGAGGTGCGTGATTGCCACAGTCAATAGGGTGAGCATGTCCTCTGTGTGCTCCTGCACCGCAGCTCTGCTGTGGGGTGAAGCCCAGCACCAGGTTCTCTTGGAATTGAGCAAGACTGGGAATGTCATATATCACAGAAGGAGGTCTGCGAGTGCCTTTGCTTTGTCTTCCTCACATGGCTCTCACTGCAGCTCCTCCTTTCTGTTTTACACCTTGTGATATCCAGGCACCTGTTACAAAGTGTATTGTGGGAAGGGGTGGAAAAAATGCATTTTAACAAGACACCATTTTCAGAAATCTCATCAAACTAAAATGTGGAAAATGGCTAAATATTCCCTGTTTTGCTTTGTCCACGTGTAGTAGTCCATCTGTTGCAAAAAGCCGTAGTGTTAAAAATGGAGATGTTCTTTGGGCAGAAAAAGAGGAAAAAATGCTGATGTGTTGTTCTTTGGCTTTATTAGTAAAGATCAAGTTATGTGGTGGTAATCTGTGTGCAGTTCTTTTGTGTGTTGTATGATTTCCTTCCTTTCCACAGCGGTCACTGGGAGCTGTTCCCTACTCAGATTGCTGAGCTGCCTCCACTTTCAGAGTCCTGCAGGATGAAACAATGGCCAAAGAATGGGCAGATCTCTTCTTAACCTTCACTTTTTTTTTTTTTTTTTCACTCAGCTTTACTGAGCTTTCCCCTTTGGTCACGTCCTGTTGGACAGTTTGCAGCTCAAACTGTATTTAGGACTGGGTAGTTTTTAAGAACAAATATATGAAATATCTGTCTTGCTGATATTGGTTTTCCAGCTTTCAGAAAGCTTGACATTTTCCCTTAGCAAGGACTTAACAGAATTAAACTAAGTATTCTGCAAGCAAGAGGAGTATTTCTATTTCCACAAAGCCAATTCATGGCCCTTTGCTACTGAGAGCAACTGCTGCTGCTTCCTTCCCCTCATTTAATAGGGTCTAGGTACAAACCTGAAGATAATCTAAAAATATTCTTCTTCATCTTATGGCAGCTGTTGCCAGGTAAATGTGGTGGGACTTCCTAATGCTGTGAGTCATGGGCACCAAAGTGCTGTTTTCAGGCAGGAAGAACTGAGGTGTGTGAGGGCAGAAGCAGGAGGAGGGCTGCCTGCTGCAGCACAGGCTGAGCAGCACTGCCTGAGCCCTGTGCTGGCAAGGCGCTCAGCAAAGCAGTCAGTTTCTCCTGGTGGCAGTGCATTGGCATTTTCCTATTTGTTTCATGTTGATTTACAGGGGCAGGAGTTCTGTCTGCACCAGTAGAGCAGCTGCGGTTTGTCAGGAGCATCAGTGACTTGTGTTCAACCACTGCTGCTCCTCCACAAATGTAAATCCAGTGGTGGCCATTCGGTGAGCTACAGCTGGGCAGTGAGCGCTAAACAGAAAAACACTCACCCATCCTTGTGCCTTCTCTTACTGCATGATGTCAAAATAACGCACAGGTGCAGCCAGAAGCTGCTCGTGTTTCCTCTGCTTTCTCTGCAGAAACGTCTGTCATACAGTGCAGTACCCCACAGCACTATTATTTGGCACTTGCTTCACAGAAATTGCCTGATGCTGCATCTCCAGCCATTCACTTTCACAGCAGTGTAAACTATCAGAAGGCTTAAGAGAAAAGAAGAAAAAGGACGCTCCCTCCCCAGCACAAAGAAGCCTGTCACTGCATTATCTTTTCTGAAATGCTAATGAAGCACAGGAGCAGCTGGAATGCAGGGGCTGGGGGAGCCCCAAAAAGAAATGGAAGGTTGGTCCCATCCTTGTCAACCTAGCTCCCATTTGCAGTGCAGCTGATATAGCAGCTTGCTAATTACTGGGACGCACGGAAAGTCACATCATGTCTGATGTGGAATTTGCCTGTTATCAGCGGTGGGGCTCACAGTCATGGCAGAGAAATGGCAGGGGAGGAGAGGAGAAAAACATGATTTTTGTTGGTTTTTTTTACCACTTGCTTGCACTGGTGCGCATCAGAAAAGTAACTTTGATGGAAGCAGTGCTCAAGGATGCCATGATGCACCTTTCCTAATGGCTCCTAAATAAAAAGAAGTACTTAGCACTGCTCGCCAGTTCTATAAAACATATGTAACGTTTCAGTTTGAAAATAAATCCCTGTCATGCTCTTTCCTCAAGCTTTTATTATTTAATCGTAAGTGAGATGTGTCAGGAAAATCAATACCACATTGACATACATTCCAGGTTCTAAGAACTTTTTTCTTCAACGTCCAAAAATTCCATTATTCCAAAGAGATGTAAAAATGTCTCCTATCTTTTTTCAGTGGTTCTGCTCCGCTAACTTGTTCAATATTTTAAAGAGAATATTTATAATTTCTTCATTTGTCATTGGTGGTGTAAGAAAAATAAATTCAAAGCTATTTAAACAGGAAGAAGTTAAAATTTCTACTCTGTTTTCACGGAATTACAGAATGTTTTAGGTTGAAAGCAACCATATAGTTCCAAACCCTGTGCTCCAGACAGGGTTGCCAACGACCAAATCAGACACTACATTGATTGTTGAGGATCCCATCCAACTTGGCCTTCAACGCCTCCAGGGATGGGACACCCACAATTCCTCTGGGCAGCCTATTCCAGCAGCTCACCACCCTCTTACTGAACAATTTCCCCTGACATCTAACATAAATCTCCCCTCTTTTAGTTTAAAAACGTTCCCTCTGGTCTTATCACTGTCTACTAGTGTGAAAAGTTTATTTCCCCTCCTGTTTATAAGCTTTTAAATATTGAAAGGCCGCAGCGAGGTCTCCCTGCAGGCTTCTCCAGGTTTTTCCTCCTCTCCTCCTCCCCATTTCCTTTTAAGTTCAGCAATATATATTTCTTTCATTTAAAATATATTTTTTCTGATGCGCCTGTTTTGGCTCGATTTTTAACTGAAACTGTTAAACGAAACAGGTTACCAGTTTCATTACAGAAGAACTGTTTGGAACACTTCTTCCGAGATATGTATCCTATTGTATGTGTAAAACCTTGATCCCTACACAGCCGTTAGCTGATTTTTCTCTCAGTAAAAGTCCTTCGATCCTGCTCTTTTTCTATTAAGTAATAATGCTACCTGCTACTGGAAATTTAGTTTCGGACACGCAGAATGTAATTAAGGAACTTTACATAGGGAGGTCTATGAAAAAAAAAAAAAAAGGTAGATTAGTATTTCACATATTTTCCTTTTAAGAATGTATTTTTTAACAGACAATAGCAGGATTCTGAAAGAATGTCTTTCTCCATTTTAAAGACTTGTGAATTTCAGCAGGAAATCAAGCTGGATTCTGAGTAACACTAGCAAGCTGCTAATGTGTGGGATGTGTGTCTGGAACTACCTGGGCAAACTGTAAAGAAGAAGATGGGAATAAAGGAAAGGTTCATCTGGAATCTGTGGGATTTCAACCTTTATAAGTTTTCTTTTGTAGAACTCACTAAAAAAAAAAAAAAAGTTTAAATATTCTTTATTAATGGCAGCGGCTCAAGTGAAAACTAAAACTATGATGTAAGAGCTGCAGGATCAGGCTCCCAGGGCCTCTTCTTCCCTCAAAATGTTTGTGTTCTGGGAGAGGATTAAGTAGTTTTAGAACACTAGTATAATGTAATCAATGTACTTAAGTATGATGTATATCTGATGTGTTTATAACATCCTCTTGTTGCGTTTACTCTTTGTAGAGAATGAGGTACAATCTGATTTTAGGGAACTCACTGTTTCTTTTCCCACTTGGGCTCTTATAGGGCCCAACTGACAACACCTGGATTGGAGAGGAAAAAAAAAATACCACTCATGGGTACAGGCAGAGGTCTGAGCTAAGAAATCTGCTGAAAACCCAGGTGTTACAGTGGATGCCATACTAAGTGAGAGCCAGCACCATGCTCACCTCATGAACAAGGCAGACCATACACTTGGTGCTGGATTTCCGTGTCCAAGTTTGGGGCCTCTCCTTTCAGAATGGTTGCTGATAAACTAGTGTGGATCCAGAGGAGAGCTGCCAAGATAACAGCGCATAAGAGAGAAGGAAGGAGCTGGGCTGGTTCAGTCCACACCTGCTAGTGAGAAGCTTATCAGCAGCGTGCATACACAGTAGTGTAAGATGGTCTATTCCAAGGCTGTACCAAGCAAATTTTTTGTTTGTTTGTTTGCTAAAACATTAAAAAGAGCAACAAAATCATAAAACCAATGGGAGGTTCAACCTTCTTGTTGTAAAACTAATGCATTGTCTGGTTCAGTGGCAGTGGCTGCCAATCTTAGTGAGTTCTCAAGGTGTTCATCAGAGATTTTTGATGAAATTTTACTTTCCCTGTGCTTCATTCTTGGGAAAATTTGCTAAGAAATATACATACTGCCAAAAGCAATTGTATTAATAAAACATGACTGTGAAGCAAAGGTTATTTCTCTCTTGTCAGAGAGTGTTTATAAAGGTCTGGTAAAGAGACACAATCAGATCGCTGAATGGAATATCTGAATGTAAATCTATACATTCCATTTGAAAACTTGTAGGTGTATTTATGTCAACAGAAAGTCAAACACAACTGCAGCAAAATGGCACGGGGCAGGGGGTGAGCACAGGCTGAGCTAGGGGCCTTCTGTATGCTTGTCCAAAGTCAGCCCTTAGTGTCATGAGGTGGTGTATTTAGCAACCCAAAACAGAACTCAAGCTGTCTGCACATCTTTGGATTAAGATTGGACCAAGAAATGGCTGGGATGGTACTCAAGAAATAAGTTAACTCCCATCCTGGAAGCAGCAGCTACACACACGTGTCCACCAACACGGCCCATTTCTCCAGCCAAACAGCACTGATGAGGAATATGGGGTTTGTGGCATTGCTCCCTCCATTCTCCAAGTAACAGAGCTTCACAGCTCAACACTGATGTGCTATGGTCCTACAAGAAGCACTTCTGCTATGTGATGTGGAGGCTCGTACCAGTTAACTCTCATGGAAGTTAAAAATAAACCAAAGAACAGGGATTGTCCAGGTGGTGCAGAGCATGAGCCAGCACCTGGAAACTCAAATGAAAACAAAACCAAAAGTGAGACCAGGCCTGTGGCCATGTCTAAGAAATTGTGTTTGGTCATCCTTCAGGAGGAAATGTGATGACTGTGCACCTGGAGCCACAAGCTCTTGCCACTGCTTATGCCATGCTGCAGTCCCACAGGAGGAAGGCAAGCAGAGACCAGCTGCCATTCAAAGCCTTTGCAGTGCTTCACTGAGGCAGACTGCTACAGCAGCCCCAGGCTTCACCAACAAGCCTCAGGATGGCATATTCCCTGCTCAGCCTCCAGCACACCCATGGCTCTCCTCACTTGAAGCACTTCCCACACCAGCACAACTTGCCAGGTGTAATGAGTTACCAGTGATGCCTATTCTTTGGGGGATGCTTCACTGGAGGTTTTCCTGCCAACAGGGACTAGCCACCCTCCCACCAGGGCCAAAGCAACACGCTTGCCACCCAGCCTCTGTTGGCAGAGGGAAAAGAAACCAGAGAATGCCACAGAAAAACTAGTGTATAAAGCTGCATGCCACAAAGGATTCCACAGTTGTGAAGAACGAACATTGCCTCTTTGCCTCTGTCCTCCTTTGTGCACATGAGATCACAATTTCAACTCTACTCATTAACATAAAGAACTTCAAACATACACCTCGGTAAAGAGCAAAGAAGATGATCAGAGGTACAGCACCATCTAAACTTACTTTAATAAAATCACAGAATCATAGAATCACAAGGTTGGAAAGGACCTACAAGATCATCTAGTCCAAGTGTCCTCCCATCACCATTGCTACCACAAGTTATTAAACCAGATCTGCATCTGCTACAAAGAATCCTCTCCTATGAAGAAAGGAGCTAGGTTTGTTCAGTCTGGAGAAGGCTCTGGGGAGATCTCACTGCAGCCTTCCAGTAATGAAAGGGAGCTTATATGCAGGAGGGGATAGATAGACTGGCTTTCTACATGAGCCAGATTGCGACTGGACAAGGGGAAGTGGTTTGGAACTAAAAGAGGGGAAATTTAGGTTTGATGTTAGGAAGTTTTTTACTCAGAGGGTGGTGAGGCACTGGGACAGGTTGCCTGGAGATGTTGTGGGTACACCATCCCTGGAGGTGGTTCAAGGCCAGGTTGGATCAGATCTTGGGCAACCTAATCTAGTGGCTGGCAACCCTGCCCACAGCAGAGGGGTTGGAAGTAGGTTGTCTTTAAGCTCCCTTCCTATTTTGTGATTCTATGAAAAAAAAAAAAAAAAAAAGCCTGTCCAAGTTTTACAAGCAATAAAAGCCTGAGACTGTAGAAATACTAAGAAATTCCATCCTCCAGACCACCAACCCAGCTTTGAAAAACATGAATACTTGAATCCTTTCATACTGGGGATAAGACCTTGACCAAATTTCCTTCCCTTCCCTTCCCTTCCCTTCCCTTCCCTTCCCTTCCCTTCCCTTCCCTTCCCTTCCCT